TTAGTAGAAATAGCCAAGCTAAAGTTAAATTTGTTTAAAGCGATCAACTTATTATCCCAATATGTTTTTTCTTCATTCAAATAAAGTCATTAAATTAAACAATAATAAATATAAATACAAATAAAAAATATTGTTTATTAATAAAAAAAACTTATACAGATAATAAAAAATAAAAATATTCAATTATAAGAAATATTTTTATACAAATAATAAAAAATAAAAAATGTTTAATCCTTATAAGAATAGAAGACAGTTATCGCAACCTGTTTTTTTGCTTGAAATTTAAGCCTCTTAACTGCTTTAAGATATTTATCTTCTGTCTTAAATTCATCAGTTTGTTGTTGTTCAAAAAATGTTATCCATGTATATAATAACTTGCTTGCATCATTCAAAGATATCAATTCAGGTTCTTTTTCAGAATCATTAAAATAATTTAGATCATTATTTTGATTATGAATTTCATTTTGAATTAGATTTATAATATCATTTTCATCCAAAATATCTTTAGTTGAAATTTCTTCATCCATACTATAAAAAAAATTATTCAATGCATCTACTAATGAATTAGCATAAGGATTATTATGATTTAAATTATCTACGATTATTTGATTAGTACTTTCTTTTTCATGAGTTAAAGTATCTTGCTGAATTTGCATTGCATCAAATATATCATTTTCAGTAACTGTAGGTAATATACCTGTTTTTCTCCAACAATTAATTATAGTTTCTTCAGATACATTACTTCATGCATCTACTATATAGTCAATCGCATGTTTAATAGTTAATTTGTTATCATTTATATCCATACTATCTTCAAAAAGATCTAAAATATAACGACAATAAATTTGTTTATAGTGAGCTTTAAAACTTGCAATAACCCCTGCATCCAAAAGTTGAAGATGGCTTGTCATATTAGGTGGTAAAAAAACTACTTTACCATGAGTTAAATTAAGGTGAAAAATATTTAGGTTATTTTTTTTTATTTTTTCATTTGTTATCTATTAATATTTAAATTTATATTTAGAAAAAATAAATATATTATTAAAAATTCTTATTTAAGGCTATACTAACTTAATAAATTGGTTTTCATAACCTGGCAGAGTCAAATTTTACATCCGGGTGAAGTTTTTTTAGAAGCTTATAAAAATTTTTATATGCTTTTTATATATAAAATTTTTTGAAAATAAAATTAAAAGCTAGGTTGCCAGATTATTTTCAAATTTTATGTTATAAGAACCACAAAATTAACTTTGTATAGCCTAATTTGGAATTATATAATAAAATAATTATTATTATGTGTTAATTTTGTCATTTTAGTATAGTTTTGCGAAAATTTCCACGCAATCTAGTTAAAGTAGAGCTTTCTTCTTCAAAATTATCTTGCTCATTAATTATATTATCATTATCCTGTTCATCATGTGCGTTAAAATGTGA